TTCAAAATTAGCATATGAGCTAGCTTCTCATTGGAGGTTTTGGGATTATATTTGGAAAACAGAAACAATAATAGTGATTTTATGGCAGGTTGGTCTATGAGAATGGAGTGTGTGGCTAGAGTGCTACGGTTGCAGAATTTGTGGCATTTTGGGACCTTTTCAAGTTAGTGTAGAAGGAGTTGTTGAAATGGTCCAGACTCTAGATGGGGTCATGAAATTAGCTGCCGTGTCATTTCTGACATTATTAGCTATATAGGTTGGACCAGGGTTTTTAGGGCTGGACCATTCGCATTATAATTAAGAACACTTCCACCGCTAAGGGGGAGCCCTGATAAGAAGTAGCCATGACGCCCTGACAAGAAGTAGCCCTGATAAGAGGGGACCAAGCAATCAAAGGTAGCTCAAGCGCAAGAGTTCTAGCTCGGGCAAACAGTGGGCAAGCCCACGGGTAAGTTCAGCCTGAGCTGCTGTCTGGGCAAAATGACACAATGTTGACGTCATAATGACGTCAGCAACAAAAAAAATAATTTAGATTTTTATTTATTTATATAAATACCTAGCCATATTCTTTACTTCCCACACCAAAAACTCTATACAAATTCATCTCCTCATATCTCATGTGAATAGTAATTGCCCTATCCCTAACCCATAAGGGCACCTCCAGGGTATAAGTTTGCCCCGAGCAAAAGGCAGCCCCAGGCCCAAAACCCCCCTCCAACGTGCAAGGTCCAGCCCGGGCAAGTCCACGGGCAAGAATCAATTGGGCTGTTTCTCGAAGGTTGATGACATCAACGTGACATTAGCGACTGATTTTCAATTTTTTTTTATTGTTGGCGTGTGCAGCTGATTTTCACATTATAATTAAGAGCACTTACACCGCTGAGGGGGAGCCTTGACAAGAGGGGGCCCAAGCAACCAAAGGTAGCTCCAACGCAAGAGTTCCAACCTGGGCAAACAGTGGCCCCAGCATCCTAGGCAAGTTCAGCCCGAGCTGCTGCTTAGGCAAAATGACACAATGCTGACGTCATAATGACGTTAGCAACCAAAAATTTCAAATTTTTAAATTTATTTATTAATAAATACCTAGCCATATTCTTTAATTCCCACACCAAAAACTCTATACAAATTCATCTCCTCATATCTAATGTGAATATTAATTGCCCTTATCCTTGCCCATAAGAGCATGTCCAGCGCAGGGGCCCTGCCTTGGCAACAGGCCCTCCGAGAGCCCAAATCCCCCTCCAAGCTGCAAGGTCCTACCTTGGCAAGAGCTGGGTCCCACAAGCCCAGGCAAGCCCACGGGCAAATTCAGCCCGAGCTGCTGCCTGGGCAGAATGATGCAATGCTGACATCATAATGACGTCAGAAACAAAAAAAAAAAACCAAAAATTCTAGAATTTTTTTATTTATAAATACCTAGGCATATTCTTTACTTCCCACACCAAAAACTCTATACAAATTCATCTCCTCATATTTCATGTGAATAGTAATTGCCCTTGCCCTTGCCATTTAGGGTGGAACCAAAAAGCAACAGGCCCCCCGAGAGCCCAAATCCCCCTCCAGGGTGCAAGGTCCTGCCTTGGCAAGAGCTGGGTCCCACAAGCCCAGGCAAGCCCACGGGCAAATTCAGCCTGAGCTGCTGCCTGGGCAGAATGATGCAATGCTGACGTCATAATGACGTCAGAAACAAAAAAAAAAGGAAAAAAAAAACCAAAAATTCCAGAATTTTTTATTTTATAAATACCTAGGCATATTCTTTACTTCCCACACCAAAAACTCTATACAAATTCATCTCCTCATATTTCATGTGAATAGTAATTGCCCTTGCCCTTGCCATTTAGGGTGGAACCAAAAAAGGTAAGGCTGCTTTGCCTTAGCCTTTTGGGGTGGACTTGCTCTAAGGGTGGAAACAAAATTGCAAGGGCTGTTACTATTCATGTGCATAGTTACAGCCCTTGTCTTGCACTTACCTTACCCTTGCTCATATGGGTGGAAGTGTTCTACGAGACAGGACAGTGGAAGGGCACATCACTTGGCATAGTATGAGATGGTAACTTCGAGAAAAAACTTCCCTATCTTGAGACACTTTTCCCTTTCTTAGGAGAGAGATCGGCACATAGTTGTACAATTTTCTTTCGCCGCATATCAAACCCAATTTCTCTATTTCGAATTTATGATAAGTATCTCTATCTTCGTATCCTTATAGAGAAGATGTATCCTCGATGCATGGAAGTTTTCTTCAATAATTCGGGAGTTGTCAGGAAAATGTTCTTGACTAATGGGGCCTTAGCTCTAGTAGAGAGTAAATACTCTTACACTGGCTACTTACCTTTCTAGCTTGTTCCTTTCCTTTCTAGGCCAACAAATTCAATGGGGCCTTAGTTTTGAGTTTAAGCCAGCCCATATAACGTACTTGCTATGATTACATTAAGCCCAAAGCCTAAGATTTTCACACACCAAAAAAAGAAGAACCAACTAGAAGCTCAACCTAAATTCGTAAGCCCAAAACTAGCCCATTGTCTGACCTGACCCATTGGAAAAGCCTCAATCAAAGATATCTTTTAGGGAAATATGCGGCTTTGCCCGTCTCACCTAATTTATTCACTAATGCCCTTATTTTGAAGGGAAATACATGGCTTTGCCCTCAACTCCAATGTTTTATTCAACAATGCCCTCTTTTTGAAACTCATTCCAAAATATCCTCTATACCCTATAGGCCCAGTATCATTTTTATCACTTTTTTTTGGTCATGTGAAATTGGTCTTTGCTACTGCTCTCTCTCTCTCTCTAAATTTTGCTTTCTTCTTCTTTTATGCTCTGCTATCTCTGAGATTACACCCCCAATTGCTTTCTTCTTTGCTTCTTCTTTTTCTTTTCTCTGATATGCTCTATGTAAGATGAAATCCCAATTTTGCATATCCTCTCTCTCTCTCTCTCTCTCTCTCTCTCTCTCTCTCACACACACACACACACACATTGATTCCCAGCCCTAATTCCCAATTATCCATGTTCTTCTTTTCCTAGGTCCAAAGACCCATCTTCCTCATCCACATCATCATTAGCCACAAGCACCACCAACGAGTTATTGAAATGGGTGGATTGGCATTGACTTTAATTTTTTGTTTGAAACAGAAGCATTTATTTGTCTGAAACCTATCAAAAACTTTCCAAGACAGACTTGAAAAAAAAAGTGATACGACAATAATAAAATAGCAATATAGGGCCAATACGATGACAATAAAAAAAAACTTAGAAATTTCAGATTAATTGCTTGTATATTGCTTGTTTATTGCAATAAACATGCTCAGCAAGATAACTGTAATAGAAGCTCTCTCCCTTCGTGTATATTGCTTGTTTATTGCGTGTGTATTACTTATTTATTGCATGTTTATTGCGTGTATATTGCATGTGTTGATTGTTTTGCTGCTTCATTTGGACAATATGTCGAACAATTGGTGAGCAATTTTTGCTCACCCATTCAGCACCTCCCGAAGTCAATATCTTTTGCCCAGGTGGTGGTTTCATTTTAAAAAACTGAATTTACAGTTTAATTAAGTATCTTGAGATGTTAAGCAACAAACACATCAAATAATGGAGGAGTTAAGAGCATAATTGCAGACCTCACCAAAGAACCAAAAAAGAATCAGCTGCGAGTTGGAAGAGATAACTAAAAGGAGAGAAGCTGCGAGTTAGACCTCACTAAAAAACCCAAAATTTGTTGCACATTCCCAAGACAAGCTAAGAAATATTTGTTGCACAATCCCAAAGTTTTGTAAACAAGCTTCAAGCATAATATTCCTCAAAAAGTTCTTGTATAACACCACTGAAATAACATTCTCTACACAAGTTGAAAATATTAATTGTAAACCTAAAGAGTAAAATTTTAAATTAAACCCACAATTATGTTTCAACAAATTTATGTACAATCTCATTCAAATTTGACTTGGAGGGACTTGAACTCACATCAAGCACCAAAAATCCAAACCCATATATGAAATTGAAACAAGGAGAAGAAAAGCCGAGTTGGCTACCTGAGGTGCCATCTCTAGGCATGAAGGTCGAAAGAGGTGATAGAGAGTGAGAGATGGAGTTGGAAAGGGTGAGGTCGTCGTCGCCGATGTGGGTGCGAACCAGACAGAGAAGATAGGAGAGGAGGGTTGAGAGAGTGAGATCGAGAAATTGTGAAAGAGGATTTGGGAGAGCTCAGAACGACTAAACAAAAGTGAAAGAGGGGCAGAAGGAAGAAGAGGAAGAGGAAGAAACTAGAGAGATGAGAGGATTTCAAAGAGCAACGACTCAGAAGAAAAAAAACTAAGTGAAGGATGGGCAATAGGCTATCAATAGGGAATTTTTATAAGGGACATTTGTGATTGAGTTTCAAAATAAGGGCATTAGTGAATAAATTAGGTGAGCCGTAAATCCGCGTATTTCCGTTATTTATTTGGCTCAACAACACTAAATCAGATATTATCGAGATAATATCGATATTTAATACCTTGGTTGTGGTACGCTAGCACAAATCAGTTTAACTTTGACATCAATTCACAATTGGGACGTTGCATGCCTCTTGGTGCTATGCACATTGGGGCCAAGATACACAACATCGAGATGAGGCCGGGTCAAGGTGGCAAGTTGGTTCGAGCACCAGGAACTCATGCAACCATTTTGAAAGAACCCTCATCAGCAGGATGTTTGGTGAAGCTGCCTTCCCATGTTGAGAAGTGGATAGATTCTAAGTGCCGGGCCACAATCGGGTCGGTTCCAAGTGGGCCAAATTCAGGAAAGCAGCACAAGAAGCTCTACAAGGCCGGGCAAAGCCGGTGGTTGGGCCAAATTTCAGAATGAACAGGTAATACCATAGGGGGTTGGCTGAGAAGTCACAATTCGTAGGGGCTAGGATTGTGGGAGATGCAGCTCAGTATTTCCATGCCTACTTTAGCGGTTAGCATAATAGTGGAAGTAAATGTAGTTCAAATAGCAGGTGTGGTACAAGAGGTGGAATATGAGAACGGCCGTCGAATTAAAGTATAAACCAAAACTTATTAAAATGTTTTTTACTAATACTGCTGGCGACATTTATCAAGAACAATATAAAACCTTTTGTTTCCCATATCCTGGAACTAGTCATTGTAGTTGCATAAATATGACAATACAATGTGAACAGCAAGTAACTCCTAGCTTTATTAGCATGGATTCAATCCTCCGACACCACGGTGAAAATCATAGTCTTGCATTTCGGAGTTGGTTCTTCAGCAAAGGCTGGATATATTCCCGATAGCCATCGGGCACAACTGATTCATTAAGAGGATCCTTCCATGCCTCCGCATAAAGATTCGGGTAAACATTACCGTCATAGCGGCCAAGAACCGAGCCAAGATAGTGATCAGTATAATTAAATGCATCAACAAATTTATCAAGAACAATATAAAACCTTTTGTTTCCCATATCCTGGAACTAGTCATTGTAGTTGCAAAATATGACAATACAATGTGAACAGCAAGTAACTGCTAGCTTTATTAGCATGGATTGAATCCTCCGACACCACGGTGAAAATCATAGTCTTGCATTTCGGAGTTGGTTCTTCAGCAAAGGCTGGATATATTCCCGATAGCCATCGGGCACAACTGATTCATTAAGAGGATCCTTCCATGCCTCCGCATAAAGATTCGGGTAAACATTACCGTCATAGCGGCCAAGAACCGAGCCAAGATAGTGATCAGTATAATTAAATGCATCAACAAGGGCAATGGCATTGGGACGGAGCTGCAATAAGTTAAGATAACAGTTATCAGACGACAGCTACTTTAATGAATGAACAAGTAGACCTTCAAGAAAAGTTTGATGGGGCAAACCTTGGAATATAGAGATCTAAGTTGATCATTGGCGAGCGAACCTTGCTTGGCCGTGATGCTGCCAGTGGAGAGGAAATCACCCAAATTTTTATGAATAATATACAAAGCATATATGTTGCAGAGGTTCTGAAGCTGTTCTTTCACTCCCTTCCCTGGAATGTCTTGTTGGAGTTTCTCAATGAACCTATCATGAAAGAAAAGCTTCATAACACGATTAAAAAAGTGGAGAACTTAATAACAGCTATCTAAATTAGTAATTGAAGGTACAGAAATAATCTTCAACAAAGGTACTGCAGAGAGGAGGTCAAACCCAAAGCATGGTTTTTAAGTCCAAAACTTTATTCAAATGACATTGTAAAGAGGAAGAAACCTACTTGGAGACGACAATCAATTGGCAATGAGCAACTGCTGCCTCAGCTAAATTAGATGAGAGTTCCGCAAAGCCTGAAGAAGTGGAAATGCATCAAAATCATCAGAATCGCACAGCATGATGCATGAATAAAAATAACCAAGCAGCTTCATATAACTGAATAGTTAATGTTACATGAACTAAATTAACTAAAAAATCTAACTGAGGTGTCAAAAAGATTAAAAAATGATTCTACAATGTCTCAAGTATTCCCTTAAGATTATAGGCGACAAGTTCTTCTGTTACTCATTAAAAGAAAGACAAAAATAGAAAATTCAAAAAAGAAAAAAAAAACAGACCTTCTTCTTGATTTGAAAACTTGCTAAGGTCTTGAGCACAGGCAATCGACATCCTAATCGCCCTTGCTTCAAATGCCTCAAGTATCACACTGGGTTTCAACCAATCTTCAACTACAGGACATTGAAAATACAGACTAAACAACTAAGGCATGAAAGACCAACCCACGTAAGTATAAATGCATATTAGTCAAGCACAAATTGTCCCTTCACAATGTAAAATTTATCCGTGTGCTTCACGATGTGAAAGAGGTAACAAAAGCATGTAGATTAAGAATGCTTATACTCAACCTTTCTGAACATTACAACGACATTGGATCAAATGTTCTGCACGGCCCATATAAGATGTGGTTCCAACAGGCTTTTTACCAGACGGCAGCTGAGAAACAGTCTTCATGAGAAACCTTGCAACCTAAAAAAAATTTGAGAAATAATTCAGCACACAACATATAAATACTGAAGACAGTATGTAGGCTCCAACCATGAACATACAAAATAGGCACCATGGTTCGTTAAAACCTACTGCCCACAAATTCAAGATGTAAAACAAACAAAAATATACATATACAATTTGCAAGCACATTTTCCTATGCTCTTAGGCCACGGTAGAACAGGCATGGCAAAAGTCAGAGACAAGTTATTGAGTAAAGGCAAAAGCAGCTCTTAAAGTATAGTAGTACAGGCATGGAATAATCCAGAAGGCAAGGTAAAGGGTCCAGTCAAAAGCAAGTAAAACAAGGCTTCGTAATCCATTAACCTGTAGAAGTAGAACAACATTGTCTCCTTCATATGTACATGCCGGGACATAAACAGCAAATAACTCAGGAAGCCCACTGTTAGATAAATAACCATGCCCACCACATAATTTCCGACATTCTTCAATGGCATCCTGTCAAAAAAAGAAATTATATATGAGAGAGAGAGAGAGAGAGAGAGAGAGAGTTCTGTCAATGGGACGGGAAGTGTATGTGACGGGAAGTGTATGTTTTCTGTCACCCAAAAGCTTCATGATCCTCAAAAAGAAAGGTAAAACATAGAAGAATAAAGCACAGCAATAATATCCTACAGCAGTTGCAGAAGTAGTCAGTGACTTCAGACCCGCAGTGCATGCATGAACTTCAGGCAATGTGGAGAAATCATTTGCTTGCAACTTTTGTGTTACATCCGTATATAGCCATTTCAACCACTCACCAACAAATCTGAAAGCATAGGCGGAAGCCAGCAAAGGGAAGAGCCTACTTTGCTGAGTCTTATAATCAATCACCTGGAACAAAACACGAACCAAAATACAACACATCTTCAGAACAAAATCATGCAGAGGATAACAAACTTAATGAGGCAATGTTCCATCAGATACCTGTGTCTCAACACCACCATTTTCTGAACCAAATTGTCGACGAACAGCACTATACCTAGTAGCAATACATACTGCCCGTGATAGAGCAGTGGAAGCATCAGCTACAATTGTTTGCCGCACAAAAACCATTGTTCCATAAAGTAGCTGTCGTGGAACATTGGATTGGACATATTTTCCTTCTCTTGTAACTTGTGCGACCCTGGCACATTTGAGAAGAACATGAGAATAGCCATCCTTTCTACTTCTTTGAATAAGAAATATGGGCACTCAAGCACAACGATCCTATCTATCATTAAGTACAATGCATACAAAGTGGATACCTCATCAACATTTGATCCCTTGGTATGCGGACATTATCAAATCTCAGGACACCATTGTCCATGGAGTTGTATGCTCCATTTCCAAATTTCATGCCGATATCACCAACTGTTATGCCTGGAAGAGGTAAGTGATCATCCAAGCTCCGAAGTTGGACAATGAAACCTAAAACAAGAGAATTGGTTCTATAATTAAAATCAATAGACCATTCACTTCACGATAGAAGTTCCAAACAATGTACACTTGGTCGTTACCATTTACTCCATGGTCTTTTCCATCAGTAATAAGACGGGCAAAAGCAACAGCATGTGTAGCAGCTTTTCCCAAACCACCAGGCCACCACTATTCACAACCAATAAGGAAGAAAAATAAGTGCCTAAACAAGATATTTCAATCAAGGAAAAATATAACGTCCACATTATGGTTGAAAATATCTAGATCAAAATCATACTAAGCACAATTCCCATCACGAGCTTGTTATCATAGATACTAAAATTTCACTCAAAAGAAAAAAACCAGAAGGAAACAAAAAAGCAACATTATTAAAATTACTCACTTTGCTTGAAGTGAGTGTAGGACTATTAAGAACAAACTCGTCAGTCTTTGGATCAAAAGTTGCAGTGGTCTCAAGCCCTTGAACATTGGAGCCATGACCAAGTTCAGTCTGTGCATAGCAACCAATAATTTGCAACTTATATGCCAACGGCAACCACTTCTTTTGCTGCTCCTCAGTACCAGAACCTTTAATAAAAGGCACAAACATTCCCTGAAGAGAAAATTAACATATTAACTAAAAACTACAAACATTTCAAATACTTGAAGCCTACAAAAACATGCAGAATACTTATCATAAGTGGGACAATCGTAGTAAAAAAAAATTACTATCAAACAGGATATTGAAATATAGACAAATTAGAATGGCACAAAAAGGGAGAATTGGAGCTTACCCAGTGAAGATCCGTATATGCTGGTTGATCAACATAATGCCTAAACCAGGATGCTTCTTCTTCTGTAACAATGGTAGCATAATTTGCATTATTAAAGCAAATGAAAAATGATATTGAAAAATATAAAAATAGTAACAGTAATGATAATAATAACAACGAAAATAACAATAAATCTACGAAACAAGATCTTCCAGATGGAGACACACCAGAAAGTCGAAGCTCATTAATCCGTTTCCATCCATGAGCTGCTTTTCTCAATGTGTTTTTGAACAACTCCTTTCTAGTCATCATAGTTCTATTATCCTTTCTTAATACCTAAACAGTAACACACAAAATATAATTACAGTCAAATTTTAAATAAAAAAATACAGTGAAGCGAAAAGTAAGAATATAGATAAAAAGAACAATAAATCCAATTGCTTTCCATGCCTAAGTTTTTAAAGAACGAAATTTTCAAACAATCGCAATCAAACAACTTTTCAACAACTGATCATCTGCAAAGCAATCACTCACTTGAAAAAGTACTGGTAAGTAAATAATTTTGAATGGTTAATTCAGAAAACAAAAACTCAGCTCGCTAACTAAAAATTAACTACTAAAATGTGAAACCAAAATTCTGAGCCTTTCAAACATTTTCTCGGAAACCAAACAGATCAAATGAGAACTAATTACCGGATCGCTAGCTACGAGGCGAGCAATTCGATCGGAGACTTGCAAGGCATGGCGAGAACCGACCCAGACGACCTTCATCTGATCCACATCGAACTGCGCCTTGCTCCGCTCGTGCGCTAAATGATCAACGCCCTCCATTTTCAGAGAAAGCAAAAGCCCCAGCAAACAAAGACTATGGGAATTGAAAACTTGAGAAGCTACGAACAGTCAGCTTCGTTCTGTCTCTGGTTTTGTAAGAGAGAAAGAAGTGGTTGAGATTCTGTGATCGATATGTTTCTCCTGCGTTTTAAATATGGTTTCTAAATATATATAATTTAATTATTTTATTTTTAATAAAGAAGCGGAAAATGAGGGTCTCTTGATAAGCTTAACATTTGGTGTTGTGCATCCCAATGTTCATGTTCGAAGATTTGACTACTTCCTTTTTCGTATACGTGCCAATACCTGTTTACATGACTTTTCCCTTTTTCTTTTTTCTTTTTTTCTCAATAAAAAGAGAAAAACCACAAAAAGGATTTTATTTTTTATTTTTTATTTGAACACATTGAAGTAGACAATAATAATGATAATGATAAATCAATCATTGGAGGGGCACTCTTTCCTCCTTCTCCCTCTTCCCTTCTATTTTTCTTCCTATTTCATACTAGGCTTTTGTGTCCCTTGTGTTTTGCAAGATTTATCTCACCCTTAGTTGTTCTAGGGTCTCCCCACCATCCTTTTTGGTTGGATCTTTGTAGATCTATCCTTTTTAACCTATGTTGTGTTGTCCTTGCAGTTTTTGGAGTTAATAAGGTGAATCTCCATCAAATCTCTGTGTTGAGGGGTGGAGCTGTTAATTTTGTGAATCTACTATCAATTGGTGTTTTGAGTTTAGGGGTGTTTGAGAGACGTTGTGATCATGTGTCATGGTGGAAGTTTATATAAAATTGACCATTAGATTTTATATTCCACTTACAGGTGTTTCATATCCCCGACACCCAAACTAGTAGAGAGCTCTCATATGTCATATAATCTTCTTGCAAAACCGAATTTTATGGATTCCTCTTATGACTTTCAGTTCCTAGTGAGTTAGGTCTTCAAGATGTATAATTGTTTTTGCTCATTATCTTTGCAATTGTTGTGTTTATTGTTTGTATCTTTCTATTGTTTGCAAGATACCTTTGTAGGGGCTATGTTATTGTATTGCATTAATGAAATTGTCGCTGCTACAAAAAAAAATTGAATTATTTAAAACTGGGGTATCACTTAAGGCAATACATTTCATTACTAATATAATTTATCTTTTTTTAGTGATACATGCTATAAACGGGTAGGGAAAATCAAATTTAAGACCTCGAGTTCAGAGGTAAATGCTTTTAACCTCTTAAGCTACAAAGTCTCTTAAATTAATTGAAATATCTTAATGAATCTGCACTGTGTTGATTGAAAAATATTTACGAATAAATCTAAGGGAGTTGGTTATAGGTGTGAAAAGCTTGCCAAAACTTCTCAATCAAATCTAAGGGATTGACCAAAATTTGGTCCAAAGTATTATTATGCTGATCAAATGCTTTGACAACATACTCTATGGCCTTATTACTTTTGTCAAATTAAAACACAATACATTTCATTACTAATATAATTTATCTTTTTTTAGTGATACATGCGATAAACGGGTAGGGAAAATCGAATTTAAGACCTCGAGTTCAGAGGTAAATGCTTTTAACCTCTTGAGCTACAAAGTCCCTTAAATTAATTGAAATATCTTAATGAATCTGCACTGTGTTGATTGAAAAATATTTATGAATAAATCTAAGGGAGTTGGTTATAGGTGTGAAAAGCTTGCCAAAACTTCTCAATCAAATCTAAGGGATTGACCAAAATTTGGTCCAAAGTATTATTATGCTGATCAAATGCTTTGACAACATACTCTATGGCCTTATTACTTTTGTCAAATTAAAACAACTGTTTTGTTTATCAAAATTATGAGATATGTCTAAGGTCACCAGTACGACTTGTTATTTCCTCAACAGAAAAATATAAAACAAAAGTTACGACATCTTATTTTAAATACAGAAGACAAAATGTATATGGCTACGACTGAGAAATGCAGAAAGTTTTCCTTTTCAATTTACCAAATAATAATGAAATTGACCAAATGTGCCCTTCTAAAGTTTTAATCTTGTTTTGGTCGTCAGTACGTAAACGTCCACATATGAAAGTTCAAAACCTTGTTCCGTGACTCGGTTTGCTTCTTTTTGTTTTTTCTATTTTTGGTCGGTTTCTGTTTGTAACTTTCTTTTTCGTATTAAAAAAAAAGAAGTCTGTTTAGAAGTGGACCAGTCAAACATATTAGAGTTATTTATTTAAATAGTCCTCAAATTTGTACATGAGTTTCATTTTAGTCCCTCAACTAAATTATTCATTTAAAAGGTCCACCGACTCTTTATTAATCGGCGCATTAGTCCTACCGTTACACTCCATCAATATTGCCGTTAATTTGAAGGTTAAAATCGTCAATTTATACTAAAATATTAATTAACTAATTAAAACAAAAATA